TATACCTATATTATATATAAATTTATATATAATGTATATATAAAATTCTATATTATATTTTATAAACATGCATGTATAAATGTATATTTTATTTTATATAATAGATAAAATAAATTTTTAGATATAAAAATTTAAATGTATATATAAATTTCCTTCAGGTCAGACAACAAGTATGCAATAACATCGAAGAATTCAAGGAATTTTTTTCTAGGGATGGTTGTCAAGAGGAATCAGCGGATAAATCTTTCATGGGAATCATTTTACCCTTTGGTGGAAAGGTGCTAAGCTGAGGTCCAGCTCCATTGTTAATGACTTTTATAAAATAGATAAAGAAATGAATATTGGCACAGAGCAGCCTGTTAAGCCAATCGGAGACAAGAACATTTTAATTAAAATGAGGCTGCAAAAAGAGAAACTCAATAAATAATGACACTCGAACAAGTAGAATTCCAATTAAATGCAACAAATCATCAGATTTATGAGTCACACCAGAAAGAATCATTTTGCATCAGTCTTATGCTGGTTTCAGTGGGACTCAGGATATAATGAGCAGAGCTTTCAAGTCTCACTGGTAAAAAAAAATGTAGGCATCCTTAATATTTATGTTGCCTTCAGCAAGACATCAGTTTAACACTATCTTCATGTGCATGCAATACAATCCCTGCAGTCATGTTAAGACAGTATTGTCCTTTAAATATTTATAAAATGTTTCTACTGTTGCAAATAATTGTGGATATCACCATTCTAACCAGGCTAGGATTTCAGAATACAGAATTGGTAGAGGCACTAGTTAGCAGAGGTTTCCAAATTACATTTTAAACATATTTTTTTTTAACAGCTTCTTTTTTAAACAGGATCATTCTCAAACACATCTGTCAGCTATTATTATGAAATAACCAGAACAGGGCTATTAGTACCTGCACCTACACAAAAAAGAAATACAAATAAAAAGAAGAAATGGAGATGTTTTTAAAACAACAAAGGCAAAAATTAAAAGCCCAAACTCCTGCTTTGTGTGGGGGGGCTTGATCTTGTTACCTAGAAGAGGCTGTTGGTGTCTGTAGCTTGTAACACATGAGTTGCTGCTCAGTTGTTCATGGTGGTATCTCACTTTAAGATCTTCCACATCTTCCTCCTGTGGGTGTTTTGTCCCCTGAAAGCTCTGGGTGTGAATGGCAGAGGAGGAGAACCACATGGCCTTTGTTTTTGTGGGCAAATTGTCTATTTATTTGCCATTGTGGACTCACCTTCACGGGTTTTGGTCAATTAGGCGGACATAGCACAACACAGGTTCTGCCAGTGTGGCTCAGCTGTCTCCTAGTGGAATATCTTTGCTCTACACGGTATTGGGAGATATCATTGAATCAGAATTCCTTTGCAAAATCAGCAAGATTAATCAGAGATCTCACACTCTTTCTAAAACAGGAATTAATTTCAATCCAAAAATCATGAAGAAGAACTTTATTCATAATTATAGCTATAATTTTTACAATTTCTCTTTTTTTCCTATTTTTAGCTTTTCTGTTTTAGCTTTTCCAAACAACCAGGTTATCACTACTCAGCTTTTTTCCCCCTGTTTTTTTCCCTGCTGTTAAATGATAACCACACATCAACTCGTTCTTTCATACATCCTCTATTTTTACTATCTGTTATTCATCTCTCCGCCTTGATATTTTACCTTTCCCATATAATTTAAAGCACTCTGAATGAAAATATTCAACCACAGACCCACTTCTTTCTTTTATTGTCTCTCTCAAAACCCAGCAGTGTTCTTGGAGATCCTCTACACAGGTGTGTATGACACTTTCCACCAGCAGAAGCTGTCCTTGACCATAACCACAGGTCCTTGGAATGACCAAGAAATAATCATTTAGATAAAATTTAATACGCATAAAACTCAATAAGAGCAAGAGTGCCATAAACACCCTTGAAATGTGGACCTGCTCCTCAGTGCTTAGGCTTGTTCTCAATCTTATTCAAGGCTGGTCTACATCAGAAAGCCAGTCAGACAGCACAGTTAGCACTCAATTAACATATATACATGTATTTATGCCTATAAATAATACATGTTACACAAACTGGATTCAAACTGCCTACTACAGGTGTAAACCAGCAATTAATTATCTCCTTCCCCACGCAATCCATGAACAGAACTAGTTATAACACCTTAGTAATCAGAACAAGTAGTTTACATGTGATCAGTAGCAACGGGGACATACCCCAGGCCATCTTGTTCTTTGCACCTTTATCTATTCAAAAATATCCCTTAAAGATTCCCCCTGCCCTAATATCTCCTGACTTCCTGCAGTTTGCTTTGTGCTATCCCAAAAACACTGAGGAGACCTTAATACTGAAAGAGGCTTGTAAGGAAGATAGGGAGAGAGTTTTAACCAGGACTTGTAGTGACAGGACAAGGGATAATAGTTTTAAACTGACAGAGAGCAGGTTTACATTGGATATTAGGGAGAAATCCTTCCCTGTGAGGGTGGTGAGGCCCTGGCACAGGTTGCCCAGAGAAGCTGTGGCTGCCCTGTCCCTGGAAGTGTTCAAGGCCAGGTTGGACAGGACTTGGAGCAATCTGGTCTGGTGGAAGGTGTCCCTGCCTGTGGAACAAGATGATCTTTAAGGTCCCTTCCAATCCAAACCATTCCATGATTCTCTGACATTATAAAGAATTTCAGTTTAAACTTCTTCCATAAGCAATGAGCTGGTGCCTCCAATGAAGTTCAACTCATCAAGTTGATTCAAATTCTGCCCAGTTTAAAAGCCCATCTCTAAATTCTGAGATTGAGAGCAGGAAAAATAGAGGTTCATGGTTGAGATCAAGAAAAAAAATATGTATCTTTAAGCCACTTTCCCACTTGATTCTTACTGAAAATAGCTTTGCCCAGCTCCTGAATTTTTATGCCTGAAGACACACACATGGATGGTCTGTGCTGAGTCCTGGCAGCAGTTGGGTGGTGAAGAGGTTCCCTTTGAGAGTTGCCAGTTTTTACCCATGCAGATATGCTTCAAGCCAGTGCTCCCCAGAATCCTTCAGGGAACTGCAGGAACAGAAGTTCAAAAAACAATTTATGAAGAGACTATTCAGTTTTCTGGGAAGCAAATTGTAGTTAAAGGAATAATTGGAAAAAAATGGATTTTAAAGTGCATGGATATCTCATAGCAAAGTCTGACTACTGGGAATGAGTAGAGAGGATTTAAGGAAGAGGGGAAAAAAAATCTTTCAAATTACCTGTAGAAAAATCTAAATAAACTACAGGTTTGATCATGGTCGCTGACTTGCAGTGGTTCCCTGTATCCTTCCCTTACATGACATTAGAGTGCAAAACTGTCTTGTTAATGGATACTTACCGCAAAATATCTACAAAGGCTGTCAGTAAAGTCTTGGTTTTATATTCAATGCCGTGCTTATCACAAAGGCTTTTCACTAGAGGAGCTACTTTCCAGTAGTTGTGTCGAGGCATTGTGGGGAACAGGCTGCAGAATGGGATGAGACAGAGTTATTGTAAGACTTGGCTTGCACCACTTTCTGTCCTCCCTGATCAAAATATTCCCCTGCCCTCCCCCAGAAGGAGAGCAAAATGTCTCCTGAGATGGTTTATTCCTGGAAACAAAGAATAGTTTGGATGGGAAGAGACCTTAAATATCATCCTATTCCACCAGATCCTTTAAGGTCCCTTCCAACCCAAACCATTCTAGGATTCCACAGTTCTAAATGCCCCATATTATTCCCACTCTTATGCCCAAAATTATACTCACTGGTGCTCAATTTGAAAGTTCAAGTGCCCAGTGAACCAGTCATTGAACAAAGATTGCTTCACGTTGCAGGTTGCATGGAGCTGGGAGGGAAAAAGACCCCAAAATACATGATTTAGGTTTTATTTTCCTGCAAGTCTGATGTTTGAACCCCAGCAATCATTGCCCACCCTCATCTTGCATAAAAGAAAAGTCAGGGATTGCAGCCATCATTGCCCTGAGGAATTAAATAAAGTCTAGACTAGCCAGGCTGAGTCTTCTTCCCTTAATAAAAGGGAAAATGCTTACAACACACTACATGGGATTATGTTGCTGGAGGCATTATATATGTGAGTAAAGTTGTATTTACATATTTATTTTTATCAGATTTTACCAAATTTTGTCAGATTTATCTTATCTGCAATAAACCTGCAACCTGTAGGGTAAAAATAAAGGGATCCAATTCCCATTTTGCTTCCTTTAGTTGGCCTAAAAGGGAGATTGACTGTTTCACCATCAATACTTTTCTGTAATAGGAAGGGAAAAGTACTGCAAAAAGTATATCAACACCTTTCAGTCAAAAAAACAAGACTTTTTAAATCTAGATGTCCTGTTTTCCAACTAAAGCTTTAAAAGGTTTGATTATTACAGAAAGGATGTTGTCTTTGTCCTATGATTCAGAAGTGTAGACCCAGTACTCCAGAAGAAAGGAGCTTCTCACCTGAGTAGACACCCAGTCTTTGTTCTGATCATAATCAATGTCCATTGGAATGTGGTTCATCTGTGACACCCAAATAAACCAGGTGCTCTCAAAGTACCTGGACAGATAAACAGGGAAACACTTGTTACATCTCCAGTGTCGTCTGAATTTACCATTAAAACACATTGCCGAGTCTCTTAGTCTTAACTAAAAGAGCACTTTTATGTAATTCAGGATTTCCTATTCCTAACTTTTAGAGTGTAAGAACCACTCAACTTGTAGTTGAAGGTGTCCCTGAGCAGCGACCACCACCCTGTTCCTTCTTGACTATTTATTGCTGAGAAAATTGTAGTGACTGGGACTAATTTTAATTTATTTCAGTATTGATTACATATATTAGTCTTGGAGACTCCAGATGTTCTGTGTGTTACCTGGACAGCCAATAGTATATCATGAAGTTCTTAAATCCCATTAAAGGAATATACATGAGGGATACTCGGATGGTGAAAGACACAAGCAATATCAGGTCCTGTAAAAAAAATAACCCAAACCAAGATGAAAATCAGCCTTTGTTGATGAAATCCCTCCACTCCATCCTCTCCCCTTTACTTGAACTGCAGCTAAAAACTGTTCTGATGTATGGATTTCTTATTGATTTATCAAGAGGAAGCTCCACACCACCATTCTACAGCAAGTTGAGTGCACCCCTAAAATATTCCCACAGCACTCACTTAATAACTGCAGACAACAGCCTTGTCATCACACTCTGTCTATATTTGAGTTTTCTCTTAACTTTCATTTATCTGCTAGAAGATTGAAAAGCCTTTTCTAAACAATTCTCCCTTGCTGCAGCAAGCCCAGAATCAGCCTTTGCTATCTTAAACCCCCCAAACGGAGGTAAATATTAATATAGTGACATTATTTGGGTTTTCCAGATGCTGAAGCTGTGCTTACCAACCACTTTTTCCTCTTGATTGTAAAGTGGAATATAGTTAGCTGGAAGAAGGGGATGAGTGCAAGTGGGGCCAACACTGAAGGAAAGAATGGAAAGAGAGAGGCATTTATAATTTCACTGCATCATAGCTCTTACAGAATAGTCTACTGTGAGAACAATGATTCTTCTTTCTAGTGGAAGAAAAATTGCTGTCTTCCATTTACACCAACTTTCATGCATTCACAAAATCTCTTAGTCTTTTTTTCTCATCACTTCTTCTTTTCTTTCCCATCCCTTTCTTCCCTCTACTTGACTCACCCTCATCTAGTACTTCCATCACATAACCCTTGCAGAGACACAAGGGCAATTCCTCCTCAAGTGGACCTTCTTGAACATGAAGGAAGCTTTCTGAAGGTGTCACTTCAATCTTAAAAACACCTTTATTTTGGGGAGGAGATGCTCTCCTGATTTAGCGGATACTCACAGAAGAAATACTTATGCTGGTAATTGTAAGGCATGAACTTCTTCTTCTTCTTTCCAAGCTGAAAAATGAAAAGATATTGTAATGAGCCAGTGAGAGACTATACAAAAATGCTCAAAAAAAATGCTTACAAATAATTTGCATTTTGTAGGAGAATGAAATTCAATCTAATCAATTCACCATGGAGTGCTGAGGCTACTGGCACTTGGAGAGGAACAGGTTGTTAACATGGAAGCTCAGTCACTAAGGTGGTGGGTTCCAACTTGGAAGAGAGAGATTGGAACCAGCTGATCTTTAAGGTCCCTTCCATCCTAAACCATTCTAGGATTCTATGAATGCAGGATGTGTTTGCTGTGGAAGCTACATCTGAACTTCTGTATCCCAAATTTCTGAGTAATAGAGGAGAGGGTGGTCAGACATGACATAATTTGGAAGCTATAATGAGAGACATTCCTATAATGTCTCTAAAATAACTTCTGCAAGATCAAGGTACTGAATGTTTGATAAATAAATCTGCCTTCTTGTTTTGTCAAATACTTTGTCTTCAATTACAGAAATATGTGCACCTCAAATATGTCTTCCCTGGATCAAAACCGAAACAACAAAGGAAGCAGACAAACAAAGCCCCTGAAATCCATTTTGCCTGGCCATGGTGTGTGGTATTTTGTAATTCTCACTAGAGAAGCCTTTCTGAGGCAGCAGAGCCGGAATTTTCCATGTGCCTTGGAGAGCTGTAGTTTCTTTGCTTATTACTAGCCAAAGGAGAGAAAGAGGCTTTATTTTAAGAAGCTGATTACCTTGCAATGAAGTCATTTCATCACCCCATGAGTAAATAGAATTAGTAGGAAAACAAAAGGCAAATGAGACCTTGATGATATCTGAAATCATAATGGTGCAGGGAGGATGTATTCCTAGTTTTTCTTTTTGTGAAAGCCATACAATTTTGGATTAAGAAATCATCTGCACTCATGTTTGATGCATGGCAGCAATACTGGTCCTGAAGGATTTAGGTGCCAAACAGCCAGAAGGACCCAGAGGGAACATCTGACTCACTAATAACTGACTAATAACACGTAACATTAATGTAAATGCACTGACTCGCCCTCTGAGCTGCCTCCAAGGTGCTCACCCTTCCTTAAGCACCGATTGCAAGACTTGGCTTCTCAGGAGCTGGTGCCTCAGCATCATAATACCCAGGCAGTACATGAGACTCTTAGACCTTGGAACACTTTGGGAATTATCAGAGAATCCTGAATGGCTTGTGTTGGAAGGGACCTTAAAGATCACCTAATTCCAAGGCACAATCTGGATGATTATTATTATCCCTCCCTACATAGATTTCTGCCATTAAATCTGCTTTTCCAGACATCCCCATGCTCACCTCCACAGAAAGTGTCTTTCCCAGGCTGAAGAGGAGGGGGTGCATGTTGAGGTCAGGGTCTTTACGGAAGCAGTTGGGTTTGGCGTGGTGCTGGTTGTGCAGGTGGTTCCACCAGCTGGCAGGTAAGCCCTGGAAAAAGGGAACACCAGGGATTCAAACCAGAACGATATCAATGATCACATTGCTATTTATCCACCTGTTATTGACAGCTTGCACTGCGATTCCCTCCCAGTTGATACTGCCTGGATATAGGGACACTCCAATCCATTGCTTTGTCCCCATTAGCCCCAGAGAATATTCCCACCATGAGCCAACTACCTTCATAACATTTATCACCACCATCTGCAGCACCCGATTCCATCTGGGCTTCCTGAAGACAGAGCAGTGCCCCAGATCATGCTGGAACCAGCCCATCTGGATCTGGAAGACCAAAGGGTCAATGAAGAAACAGAATCTTGGCAGCATTGCAATAATTTGCCTTGTAATAATAATTTGCTTCCGTAACTTCATAGTGTGATGCATCTTCCTTCTGCTTTGGGGAAACAACACTCCCTGATGTCTTGCATGTTCAGTGCTGAGAACTTCCAATCAAGCTACTGTCCACTAAAGCTGCTCAGTTCCAGATATTGACTTTAGCTGGAATATAGGGAAATCAGCAAAGCATCGCAACAATTAACTGTTACAGCATAGAAGTCTGTTTGCTGCTATCACAAATAATGAATTTCCAAGTAACCAGCTAGAAAGTGGAAGAATTTCCAAGTCTACAGCTTTATTGCATTCCATATTCCCATGGAAATATGAGGGCTCTTTGAGGAATATCCACCTTAACAGATAATAGGCAAGTAGAACAGATCATGTAAATGAGTTCATTTGAATTTGTTCTATGGATGTCTGAGCAAATTTAAACTTTCAGCTCTACTAAGAAAATCTTTCTTCTTCCCCTCACCCTAAATTTATTGCATCTAAGGGCCACAAAGTCCTATTCCCTCCTTCCCTGCATAGATCCTGCCCTTCTATGGTTGAATTCACTAATCCAGCAGAAAACTATTCAGGGTTAGTGAGGGAAAGTGGCTCATAAAGGACCAAACAAACATCAGACAGAAGGAACAGGGAGCCAAAAGTACAGCTGAGAATGAAATATTGCCTCTTTTGTGATTAGATCAGCAAATCCCATCTTGTGAAACAGCCAGTTCCATAACATCCCACCAACTCCTGGGTTGTCAGCAAAACCAGATTTGCTGGAGGCAACAAAAATTGTGATGTAGAACGTGCTTTTTGTCTTCAGGCAGGTAACAGGACCTGAGGAGAGGCAGCGGAGCAATGCCTGGGATGTGAACATTCCATGAATCCTCTCCATCTGGAGGAACCAAACATGTCTGCAGGGTGAGCAGCTGTCAGCACTTTACCTGAGCAACAGTGAAGAACGCCATGCCAGCCAGGAAAGGCACTAAGGAGATGCCAAAGTACCAGATCACGAGCCAGGATGCAGCATCCAGCACCAGGACGTGAAGGAAAACCAGGAAGAAGAAGAAGTAGTTTGGCCTCAGAAGTCCCATCTTCTCAACAGTGCAGCGCAGCTCACGAAAATCCTCCAGGAGGGATTTCTGGGGGTAAAGTTAAAATTAATGCACTATTTACTTTGAAAATGTAACACAGCAGACTCAGAAACCCCAAAGCAGCCATGGGAGTCAGAGGAGATATTCTCTCAGAGGGGACTCTGCAAAACCAGGCATGAGATCAACAGGTCTTGCTTTTGCTTTGATACTGAGACATCACAGTGGGGAGAACTGAGCAGAATTTGGGGGTCTGGAGCTCATTCCTCGCACCCAGGGGAGGATTTAGCGATCCTGAGATGGTCATGTTTCCATGCCTGACTAGCACTGGCTGCCTCCCCACTCCCTAGCCCATGGCACGGCGTCAGGTGTGCTCCTTCAGACAGGATTCCTGCTCCCTCTCTTATTTTCCTTCTCCTCCCAGGCTGAACCCCAAGCCGTTCCCAGCTCTGGAATCTGGGACACTCACCTTTTTATTGGACTCAAAGCTGGGTTGATCTGGTGCCAGCTCCCCAATCAGCAGAGATCTCAAGTACTTTTTCACCAGAGACTTATCGTTGTGAAAAGCTACAAAGGCATCCTGAGAAACACAAAGGGAGGGAGTGAGAAAGGGCACGTGACTAAATCCCAGACGCTGAACCTCTCCTTTCCTCAAGTCTTTGATATAACACGTAATCCAGTTCCCATTGTCCAGAACCCTTTGGGTTCCTCTTTACCACCTACTGGAGCTCGGCCCAAGGATGCTGGAGAAGTTTCAAGAAACCAGATTTCATAAAAGGCCCTGGGCGAGGCTAGTAATGAACATGAAAGGGTTTGATGAAAAACTCTTTGCAGAGGGAAACATGTTCTTTCATCTGCTTGTTTCAGCACAGTCTGTCCCTAGAAGGCTCCAGCCAGCAGCCCTTCCCTATGGATGGGACCCAGGTGTGGGAGAACACATCAGGGAATGGGATGTGTCTTTGCCATGCTTGAGATGAGGCTTTTAAAATCCTGTTTGTAACCCACTAGGGCCAAAGGAATATGTGCTGAAGTTCCTTACACAGCAGGAGTGCAGTTCCCTGCAAGTTTTCAGGCTGGATGATATTTTGGGGAGGTAGGTAACAGTAGTGACACAAATGGGTCCATTCAAGAAGCATTTGAAATCCCAGGTTTAAAATCAAAGACAAGCAATGGAATAAAGGGTGAAATTCCAGGTAAATCAAAACTCTTCTTTAGCTCAGTGAATTTTCCAGAAGTAAGATAAAAAGGCTGACCATGCTCTATTTAGGTCCAGAAAGAGTAGATATGGCAAAATCCTCAGTGTTTGAGCAGTCAGGTACTTGTTGATTTTGGGTGTGAGAAACAACGTGGATGATTAAGACCCCAAAAAATTCTGCATGTGCCTGGTCAGGACCAAGTCCCTGGAAAAGGACAGGGGACTTCCTTGCAGTCTGACATTGCTCTGGAGCCTTTTGGCTGGAGAACTGGAGACAGCCTTTCTCTGAGTACTTTAGTCCAGAAATACTCAGAGCAAGGTGATTTTTTGGACATTTGAGCTTTTTACAGACATCCACTTTGTCACATCCATCCCTGTGTCACAGTGACAACTGAATAACTCCGTCCAGACCCAGAGGACTGGGGAAATCTCTCTATCCTAATTCCGTGCCTCTCATACATTCTTATATACCTCCCTCCTGCCAGGAATCTGATTCAATCCATAAGTGTCTATATTGCAGCTTGGAAACAGGAGCCACAATGCCTTCAAGCAGGAATCCCTCTCCACAAGATCAGTATCACAGATTCTTATCACTGAAAGCCCCTCAGTCCTGCCTGTCGCTTCTCCTCCCTCCTCAGGTCCTGATAATCATCTTAAGAGAGATTAACTTTAAGATTTATCACCTGCAACACACACAACTCCCAACATTTGACATCAATGCAATGTTCTTGTTGACATTTTCAAATTAATCCACACAGAAGAAGAACATTCTCACTGTATATATATAATTATGAGGTCTAGAGTAGTCAAGAGTACTTGAAAAAAAATCCTGGATCCTGGTTTTAGGTAAAGTCCTGCCCCAGCAATTTTTTGAGACACCTTCCAGTCCTGCATTTCTGTAAAAGTGTGTTTTTTCTCAGAATATATGAACAGAGCAGCATTTTAAAAGCAAAAAAAATTATACAGATTAGCAGAATACAAATTGAGAGCAAGACAGAAGGATATTGTTGTGATGCAACACAAATCCACACTGTACCCACAATTTTGGCTACTAGTTGTGGTCCTGTGCTCAAAGGGATGTAGCACAGCTACAGGTTGGAAAAGACCTTTAAGATCAAGTAAAATTAGGTTGTAATTATTGGAATAATAAAAGCAGGCAGGATCAAAGGTCATCCTTTAAACATATTCACCCCAGACAAATTCACTGTGGTTAAAGCCCCTGGGTGTCCATAAATAAAATAATCTAAATGCAGGTCCTTACACTGTAGGAGCTGGGAGGACATTGCTTGGGGTCAAATAATTCCATGCATTCTGTATTCCTTGAATCCTTTTGTAAAAGTCCAGTAACAGAACCTGCAGGAGGTGGCACCAGGACCTCTAGACTGGCCTGGCATGGCTGGTCTAAGTTCTTAAGTCACTGAGGTAGAGGAGAAAGCCAACGAGACTCAAACCTTTCTTTTCCTTCCTTTGAGAACACCAGATATTTTTCTGTCCCACTTTCAAGCACAGAAACATTCAATTCAAGGAGTGAAATGTGAAAAATAACTGATCTGGTTCATTCTGGGCCAGGACAGGGGAAGTGTTATCCCATTTCAAACTGAAACCTGAGAGATTAGATGGCTAAAGAGCTTCCTTCAAGTCAAAAAGTCTTGTTGAGACAAGAATTAAATCTCCCACATCACAAGCTTATGCTTGAAACTTGGCCATGTTTTTAATGCTCATATTTCTGACTATTCAGATATTCAATATCTCCTTTCAGCAGAGAGATCTGCTTCGAATTTATTATTTCTGTCAAAAAGCAACACAATTATTTCAGAGAAATCCACTAAATCAACAAATTTTTGCAGGAGATCTGTTTTCAAATATATTTGTGAAAGGTTTCCTTGTCTCCTGCAGCCATTGTGTCTCTTTCTCAGCCCGCTCTTTGGCCAAGCACAGTGACAACCAGCACGTCCTCCTGCCCTGGCACTGGAACCACCTTCCTGCTCTGTCCTCCTGGGTCTTACCGTGGCATCCTGCCCAGCATAGTGGCTGATAACTCTGCTGCCTCCAGGGTGCTTCTTGGAAAACCTGCTGACATCATAGACCTTCCTGTCGATGACCAGCCACTGCTCCCGGCTCTCCCCACGGCCATTGTGCATCCTGACCTCCTCCCAAGTGAAAGGCTGCGGGAAGGCCGGGATGGGACTCGTCCCCTTCTCGCTGGAGCCCGTCTGAGGAGGCATCTGTGCACTCAGAGCCGGGATCCACCAGGCTGAGCCTTGCTCTGTGTCCAGGCTGAGGGTGGACCATCCCATCCTGCCCGTTATACAGCCTCGCTCCAAGCCACTCCCTTGTGCTCCAAGGGCTGGTTGGCTCTCCTTGCCCAAACACACCCTTCCAAAGTTCCCTCCCCTTCCAGATGCTTTACACACCCATAAATAAAAGCCCTGTTCCTTCTCGTGCTTTCTGAGTTGCCTTTAGAAGGTCTGATTACTCATGAGAGTTGTGGACTGCTCTACTGAACACAATCGGGAATAAACAGACAAAATTAGGATTATCTGTTGTCTCTAAATGGCCTCATCACTGCCCAAAACCTTCAGGTTGTCCTTCATCTTTGAAATTTTCTGTGTTTACCCTGGCATGGTAAATTCATGTGTCTTTCTTAACTAAAATAATCAAAATGCTATCAAATCGGAGTAAAGATGGTAAAGATTCAGAGTAAAAAAAGAACACAATTAGGAAAACATCCTTTATTTCCAGTTAATTTGGCTTGTTCATTGTATACTTCACGTAGAGCTGTGAAAACAGAGTTTCCTGTATATTCTTGACTCATTCAATCATCTAATTGTTCAAGTAATTAATTCATAAGTCTATAGCATTAGAATATTTTGGAATTAGGAGTAATAATAATAATAATAACAATAATAACTGTTAGCACCAAATTTGGCTGTAGATTCAGAGTTCCTAAAGCCATGTTTAAAGGCAACGTTGACATAATTAACCTCACTTAAACATTGCTCCTGAAGAGACAAAATCTGAGCATATCTGATTTTGAGAAGATCTGCTATGAGTACAGAGGTGAAGAGTTCTCAGCTGTAACAAATAGCAGAGAGAAGGCAATGCCAAGCTTCCTATGCATCCACATAAATTTTGCCCATGACCCAGAAAAACTAAGCCCTCATATAGGAAATACTGCCCTACTTGAGATTTAGGATTCTTTTTATCCTGGTTGGATTTTTTTAGTCCAAAATTATGAGCCCTGAGTGCTTTTGAGGAAGATACAAGCAGCAGGCTGATATGGTACAGTCTGTTCCCACAGATTTGAGTTAAATCAAAAATCATGAGTTTTCCCCCTTTTTATTTGCACTTATGAATTTATTATGTCTGTAACCCCAAATATTGCCTACAGTGATGCCCAATCCTTGCCTGAAATCTGACCAGTTCCAGGCCTCAACTACCTCTTGTGACAGTGAGTTTCACAGACAATTCACACACTGTGATCCAGAGAAAGGAGGGAATTGTGTGAGCTCCCAGTTCTGAGAAGGACTGGGAACACTCAGCTGAAGTTGCAGACCTCAGGCAGGACAGAAAGATAAAGAAAGACAAAGAAAGTTCGGAAAGCCAAAGGCACTTCAGCAGGATGAGTTGTTTTCCCTGTCTCCCAAGCAGATGGCAAGGAGGAGGCCCGGGCAAGAGCTGATCAAAGCAGAGGTGATCTGATATCCCTCTCATGAGGTGAAAAGTACCATTTGATTTACGTAAAATAACTTTATTTTCAAGAGTTTGTCCCTGAGTGACTCTGGAATGGAGCTCACAGGATATTCATGCTGTAAGAGACAATGAAGCTTCTCAGTTTTTTACTCTGTGCCAGTCTCAGACTGCAAACACAGTGACAAATATGAAGTCTTGGTTTTTGTGTTCCCCAGTGAATTAATAACAGCCCAAAAGCAGTTGGATAGAGACAGCTGAAATTCCACAGAGCAGACACCTGCCTTGCCCTTAGCCCTGCATGGAGCGAGCAGTTTTCTGACTGCCACAGAATCCTAACTTACACAATTCTAATTCTTTAAATCATGTAGCATCTTGTGAATTAATAAGTCAAGCCCAAAACAGCTGTGTAGAAGTTCCTGACATATGGCAATGGTGGAACCACCCAAAGTAAAAGAGAAATGGGACTGTTGGTATTCGTCAGAAGACAGTGATAAAAGAATGGGAGGAACAATTTCTACTCTGCTGTCACATTGCATTTTGTAACTCTTTATCTTGCTCTAAATAAAAGTTGAGAGTGTCCACGCCAATGATGTGTTCATGTTCTATTGTATATGTGTGGAGTCTTACCTAAATCATGTTTAGTACTTGAGGTGCTGAAAATAAAATATGCAATAGTTTGCGCAATTTTCCACATATGTGGTTTTTATAGACATGTGAAAATATCAAGTTACTCCACAGCTGGCTGAAAGTACAAAAAACCCCCTTCCCACGGCCCTGTATTCAGGCTTGTAAATGCAGCAGTTACCTGAAAAGGAGAAGATAAAAATGAGGGGTTTGATTTTGGTCACAGAGCCAGGTGTGAACAAATATGGGATGTCTCTGTTTATAAACACAGTCAGCTGTGATTTCACTGTTAACACACACTGTGGGTGCCAGTACCCACCAGACTGTTGCTAATTAGATGAATTAAGTTTGGGAACTTTAAGATATTTTTTCTCTGAATTAACAGTGTGCATAATATTTAATGTCTGAATTTATTTTCCATCAGCTCCCATCCAGAGGGTCCTGCAATGCCCATTGATATTCCATAACATTAAATCCCCTCCCAGTCTGAAAGCAGAAGCTCTGTCTGTGTTATCCAGGTCACCAAACAGATTTCAGAGCTGCATGGAAAAGCCCAGAGAGTGAAAGCCACAGCCATGCTCACTCAGATAAACTATTGGGAAATCTGTCAAAGTGAATTTACACCACACTCAGTGTTCTGCAACAACTACCCACAGACCTGCCAAAATCTGTGTCGTGTGCTCCTGGGAGCTGGTACATGTGCTCACAGCTGTTCTCTTGTGACTAAGAAACTCCTTGCCCAGGGACTTGACATGATTTCCCAGATTTCCAGAAAGACAGTATGTGACTCCTCAGCTGGGAGTTGTTGCATCAACACTTTTATCCCCCATAAATATTTGCAGCTTAATCCACTGCAGATATGTGGTCCAGAAATAAATCTAGTACTGAGACATCCCAAAGCATCTTGGAAGTGGTTCTGTGATTCTGTGAAGTGGTAGGACTCGATGATCTTAGAGGTCTTTTCCAACCTTAATAATTTTATGATCTCATTTCTAAGAAAATCTCCTTTTCCTTCAAGCTCTGAGGAATTTTTTCCTATAGGATACCAATTTTTTTACAGGGTTTTTTGACCACCTTTTCTACAGAAACAAAGTATTTCATGGGGCCTGTCACACGTGTTGTGACAGCACCTACCAAGTGATGCTCCAGGGAAAAGCTGGATGGAGAACATCTACTTTACAAGATTTACAGTCTACTCAGAGTTGTTCAACATGAGACAGCCACTTATAGGTTGCACATGTCTCCAGAGTCAGCTGTCAACAGTAGAGAGAGCTGGAAAAGCAGGACCTTGCGCTGAAGCCATGGGACAGCATCTTGCCTTTGTGGAGAACTCATGGATGCTCTTCCCTACAGTGGCTCCAGTCTATGGCAGGGAACTCACCTGCAGCCATGCACAGGCCAGCGCACAGCTCCCTGTAGATAGAGCCTGTTTTTCTTCCCAGATTTCATGGACTATCATTCAAAACTCCCTCTTCTGTGACTATGATGTGCCTCTTCCCAAACACAGCCAGGAAATGGAAATAGTTATAATTATTTTATCCCCAGCACAAAACTTAATGGGGAATCCGTAATTCAGGACAAGGCTACATTTGGAAAGATTTCTTCAATCTTTTCAAGAGACAAAAACTTTTGCAGTCGGTACAATTTTGTTTTGGAAAGAAAAGATAAATCCAGTAGTTGCTTGATGAGAACATTAGAAGATACCATATCAGTCAGGAGGAGAAAAGGACTGGGTTTTCTTTTTTTTTAGCATATTCCACATTAAGAGACACAACCCCGTATCTCAGATGGGGTTACTCATCAGGAATACCATGTAATTTCAGGGATGGGAAGAAAAATCAAGGAGTTTTTCATAGACAGTCATGTTTGCAATGAATGTTTGCTTCTCTTCCCTGCCTTGAGGGGTTTAATTTGCTCAGATATTCAAAGTATTTATTAATTTTTTTTTCATTCCTTAACCAAGATTTCAGTAGTAAGTTAACACATGGTTTTTTTCCTCTATATCCTTTGCAAAACAGAAAAAACCATCTGTGAAATACCACATTTTCCCTCCCAATTTTGGGTTACATTTTATGGCTGAACAATAAAACCCCAAAACGAGTGCCTTGTTAATTATAATGACATCTAAAAATAGGTTCTGTAATAAGCCTTCTCACCCAAAACTCCCTACAGAACAATAATTTGCATTAAGACACATATTATGTAATTTTTTTGTACTTCTGAGCAAGTTCCTAAAGTCCCTACCCAGGAGATGCTGCAATGCTGCACAATGAGATGTAAAGCCTGACAGGATTTGCTATTGTAATTCTGATGTGACCTTCTCTCACACACACCAGCTGTAGTTACACCCCCCAAATTCTTTTCAAACAAGGGTGATATCAATCTCTTCATCAATCACCGTGTACTTTTCTGGTTTGTGTTTCTTATTTAACCTGCAATTCCAATTAAATATGAAATATGAATATACTCTTTGCATCATTCAAATTCATGGAAGCCAGAACTCCATGGGCTCTTCTGTGGTTTTAAGATCTAAATTCAGCTGATCTAAAATGGTATATTCTAAATTTAACAGCTGATAAAAAGGCTCTCTCTCAAGTGCACAGGTAGCATTATATATTATTAAAAAGAAAAATAAGACACAGCATAATTCAAGATCAAATTGCTAAATGAATGTAACAAACCCATTTTGTTTTCCCACTGTTGTACATCTGGGTAGCATTTTTATAGCTTTTTTAGCATTTATATTTTATAGCATTTTCTGTGCTCAGTGCAGAGCTCCCACTACTTGCAGACACACTTCTGAATATTCTGCTGATCCACAGAGGGAAAAACCCTCGGAAAGGTGACTCTGCTTGAAAGTTTGTTTTAATTCTTGACTTGTGCAACACTAGTTAGGAACAAAGTGACA